ACGAGCGATGTAGTTCTGATGTGGAATGCGGTAGAAGTTATGTTTCACTGTCTCTCTCTTTTGTCTCTCAAGTCAAGTTCTAAAGGGTGGTCTTCTATTGCGGTCAAATTTTGTCGCCTGCTAGTAGTCCAACGGTAACCTCACGTACCTGAAGTCCGTCCCCTATTAGAAGTATTTTTTGGCGAAATTTTTTTGAAAATTCCCCTAATGCCCCTTCATAGGGCATTTTCGGATTTTTTTTGCGGACATAATAGAAGACCACTGGTCTTCGAGGAGCTAGAAGACCATGGTCTTCTATTTGGCTTTCAAGTCATATAATCGGCAGCGGTCTGCTAAAAGGGGATGGTCTTCTATTATGGGTGGGGATTTAGTTTTCGGATTGACCTCGTCGTAAAAATTGACCGCATGAGTCATGAATTCGAGCGATAATTGCTTCAGCAGTATTTTGTCCTCGTCTTCTTCGGCACAATATTCAGGGTTAAGCGATTTTTCATCTTCCTCATTCTCCTCCACTTGATTGATCAGCTCGCTATCGTCTAATCCATGATCGAGGGCACTTTCGATTTCGAAAGTGTGCGAATGACTGTTGACAATCGACTCAAGCACACTGCAAAGTTGATCAGCCACTTCACATTCGCGGTTTGTAATAGGGGCAGTGGGAGTCGAGGTGGTCGAGAAAACAGAAGGCAATAGGTTTGAGACTCGATCAGCGAGACTTTTCACGACGTTTGATGGATTAACCATTTCGAAACAGACACTGTTAAGACTGAATTTTTTCTCTCAAAGAAAAGATCTCAATTTTTGCACCGCACTACTTTATTGTAAGAGATAAAATCAAAAGAAGAGCGATTATACGGCAGAAACACGTACAAAAGAGAACAGAAGGAAAATTTTACTAGAAGAACATCAAACAAAGCATCTGGGCGTATAACATTCCTTACACAAACGAGGTGGTATGTCAAGAAAGAGAGAGAAAAGCAGCAGTGCTGATAATGTATCATCATCGCCCATCGATTAAGACTCACTATGTTTTAAAATGGTATTAAAAACATCATAATAATTTGTATGCTATTTGAACTGATGAATAACGAATAGAATCGTTATGGATAGAGTTATATCCAGCTCTCAAATCCAAATAGATCGTGCAGGGAGCGCATAATACTAAAGAAAAAGCTTCAGCCATTGATGTTCCATTATTCTCAAAAAATAGTCATAGATCGTTTTATTCTCATTTCCTCATAGGATATCTTGAAAATTCAATATCCTAGGAATGAAGACACGAGGAAATGAATCCTTTTCAGGTCTTTCATATCTCATCGAGGTCTACTTATGACCAAAAGATGAAGCCTAAACGGCTTGAACACTTGGGGACCTTCCCTCGTAAGTCGAGAAAAAGTTTATTATATATACTTTATGCGCTTTGAGGCTCAGAGCAAAATAGGTAAAAATCCACTCTGACATGCTGAACAATGTGGATCGTTCGACTCTGAAAAGCCTCAGCAGAAACGCTAATGGTCAGTCTGTTATGTTATCTTTATCTTCTTGATCTATCTACAACATGATGTATCTTCTTTCTTCGTTATCTGCTGGGTCTATGTGTCATCAATAAAGCAACAGTTTCACGCTTCTTAGGACTGTCTACAAAGGTTGCCTCATTCTCGAGTGTTTTTTCTTTCCTTTCTTAGTTAAACATCGATATGTTATCGTATGTGAGATAAAGAAAACTCACTCAATAGCAGAGCTCTAATATCAATTCAGAAATGTAGAGAAAATCTACGCTAAATTGGATCTTTGAGAGAACTAGTCTTCTTTGCTAATAGTATTGCTTACTCTTTGCTTAATCCAAAGATTTTTTTAGCAACACGAAGTTTCATGACGGCGAAATTATATGAAGTTATTCGAACTATTATTGCATGGATCTCTTCATGGATAAAATTCATAAGTTAGTCTAAAACAGATGATGAATGTCAAGATGACGTATCTTCTGATTTTAAGTCTGATATGGTCGAAAGTTTTCCTGAATGTTATATTCAAAATACAATCCATGAATTATTTCCATTTGTTGAACGTTTGACAATTCATTTTACTAATCCGACAAGATTTTTTTTCCATTTACATCATCAAAAAGCAAATGATCTCTGGAACTTAGCAATACATCCACGGATTTACGGTGGTACAGATGACTGTGAAAATTAGCATTGCAAGGCGATGCTGTATTAAAATGTCATGTACTTGATATCTTACGTGATACAAATCCACTAGCAAATACACAAGAATTACATCTATTGAAAGAACGATATTTAACCAACAAAGCATTAAGTACCTGTACATATTTCTTTCATTTACAATACTGGATTAGACAACAAACAAGTACAAGTACTCTTTTAAAAAAAAGTAAAAGAAAATGGCGGGTAAGAATTAAATTTTTAAATGAATCCCCTCCTCTAGGAAACCATTTTTTGGTCGGTCTAAACGCTATTTATGTACTTCATTAAATGGATAGTAGTACTTGAAGTTCTTCAGCTATGGCTTGGTTTTTCAAAGAACGGATCTCTGAAAAACCGCTTAGGAAACCATTTTAGAATTAGAAGAGCATTTGGTTAGATAGAGCACACAAGATAACCTGTTGAAAACGCACTTTTAAGTTTTCCTCTAGCTTGCAGACCAAAAGTCCACGTGCCTAGTAAAAATTGCCCACAGTGCAGAAGCATCTTCCTCCAATTTCGAAAAATCCATGTGCAGAAAGCTAAATTTTAGAAAACTAACAAAACAACTGGTGTTACTGCACCTACTCTTCATCTGTTTTAATATATCTTCGTCTTGAACTAACTACATAACACCAAACTAATTGACAAACAGAAGTAAATTCACAGTATGTCATGCATATATCCTGTGGTGAAACTACTTTTCGAACTCACTCTCACACTGCTTTCACACACACTCAAACGACTACCACACACTACCAGAAATACCCAGATTATATCACGAAGTATATACAGAATAGTCGTTCGCGTGGACGTGGCAATAGCTCTAGTTAATACTATGGTGGCGATAGCTTCTTAGTGGCATCTCTGGAGGTAGCGATAACCATTCCGTTTAATCATTACAAAGTCTGTGGTGCAAACAATTTCGGTCAAGAGAAAATCTTTTAAGTTTCTTGTTTATTATTTAGAATATCTTTTTATAGGTTAGAAGACAACAGCAAAAATCTACAAAATTCGAAAAGCAGTAACTGTTTGTTGTATTGTCTTCGTTTGTTAATTATTTAAATGCTTGATGTTTTTGTTTCGTAGCATCTAGAAAGCCATCATATTTCGGTGTATGTTTTAAAGATGGATGATGTATAATTTCATTACACTTATTGTGTTCGTCTTTTGTTAGTTTTGTTCGGTTATTATTATCATTATACTGACGAAGTTGTGCTGCATCACCTCGCTGTCCTGGTGATGGTTTTCCTTCTGCTTGACCCATATTTCTGTCTGGAAAGAAAAACAAAAAAGTGATAGTTTAAATAGTCTAATAAGTTTATTGCGCAAAGTATCGAAAAGACCCCATGAAAATGACTTTCTTTTTTGGTTTGAGGCTGTGTTACCGCACAATTTCAGAGGCGAGATCAGTATATATCATCGGCTACCAGCAGCTGAGAAGCGGTGACCGGACTAACATCAAAAGCGGTTCGTTTTTTCTCATTTCTGTGAAAGTATCCCGACCATAGCTCAGAATTTTTGATCTTCACAGAAAAAAGATAGATTACATCTACCACGAGGATCTATTAAAAATAATATAGCAAAATTTCTTAGAACAAAATCAATTTTTTCTGTTTCTATTTGTTTTTGTTATGCTTCATATATGTACATATATATATGAAAACGAGAAGAATGTTTCCTATAGTCTCTTGTTTGGTGCTTTTTCTTTTTTCACGTATTTACATAAATCTCATTTTCCACAGAAAGAAAAATATCAGACTTACACAATGGTAAGCAAGATATTCGTAACATGAGTAACGTTAACGAATGAGTCAGAACAAAACAGAGCTGATCGAAGTTTGAAATAGGTCGGAACAACCTTTACAAAGATAAGACACAAATGTAAATTGAATAATTTTATGACTATTATTCCTTCTTATTTTTATCAGCAAAAAAAAGAAATAGAAAGAAATGTCCGTCTCACACTTACTCTGTTTTTTTTTCTTGAGTCCTGTTTGCAATGCATGAGTCGTATTTGAAATGGGAAATATTGCGGATAATTCGACGGATTTAGACAAGCAGATGATTATCACAACTCGCTCAAAGTATATAAGCGAATTAACAGTTTTAATTTAATTTTATACGCAAATAAATCAAAATAATGTTGCTACAGACACTTTCATCTTTTTCTGTCGCGTGCGATTGAATCGCGCATATCCCTGATAAAACTAAACCGAATCTTTATCAGAAATAGTCAATAGATAGCCAATAACTTGAGAATCATTTTGATTAAAGAATAAATGATCAATGCTCTCCTTATTGTGAAAGACGACAATTACTTCTCTGAAAATAAGTTTTACACACTCTCATGGGATTTTCAATTTTATTTTTTTTCAAATATCTCCATTAATACTCAACTTTTTCCAGCGATTTTTTAATCCTTTCTTTTCCCTTTGCCATGTAAAACATATACCCAAAGCTGTGGCTTAAAGCATTGTGTCGTTTCTGAGAAAAATGAATATTACTAGAAAAATGTTTCGGGACATTTTTTCAGTTCACAATAAGATTAAACCCATCGTGTCCCCATGAAAAATACACTAAATTTAAGTTTATCTTAAACCATTTGATAAAGCTTGACGATACAAATCTAAGCGTCCACGTTTTTTGGTAGGCTTCACACGTAATAGTAGTTCTTTTGTAGCTGGAAAATCTTGAATTGTACATTTCCTCAGAATTATTCGTAAAAGAAGGTTTTTGATTCTCATGCTGACTCAAGGAACCTTTCAGGAAACGCTCAGGACAGCTCATACGTCATAATCGAAGACGAAAACGGTGAATTTCGACTGGGCATTGGGTTTGTCAGCATGAGATTTGAGCGATATATAAGGATTTTAATTTTTCCTAGTAACAGACGAAAAACCGTTTTTTTACAAAAATGCTTCTGGCGAAGTTATTTTCTTTTCACACAAAAAAAATGTTGCTACTGTGCTCGGCGTAGTCGATTACCTATATTCCATAGCATTGCGAGATTCCCAGAGATATCTACTGAGAAATAGACACGTACTCGGGGAAAGCGAGCCTTGTTCGAACGACGATACATGGAGAGCTGGGACTTGCATAATTTTGTGGAGTAGCGTCCGGATTACCTACGCAAGCAAAGACATTACAAACAGTGCATGTTAGTTTTTTGTGGGCGAACCTGGTTTTTCAATGATCCTCTGGAAAATCGGATTTTCAGAAAATTCTGAAACAAGTTTCTGCTTACAAAACATGTCTTTACAACTCGATGTGCTGTAGCAAACTATATAAAAATCATGCATAAACATTTGCTTTAAAGGTCTTTTCGAAATTTTATACCAGCAGGCGATCTCTCGAGACAGATAATTTATCAAAGTCATAACTCTGTCAAAACGGCTTTGTCTACCGAAAACATTTCGCGCTATATACAGTTGGTCAACAAATATATATATGATGGGTGTCCTATTTTCAGTCTTTTACTCTGGTGATAATAGCCCCAATAAAATATATCTACTATGATAGGAGTTGCACAAATTAGAATTGTGTGTAAAGCACCGCAGGACTTTATCTCATTCCTATCAAAGTTATTGAAAAAACATCCGAATACACTATATTTTGAAATGAATAGTAGAAAAATAACGCTTCTTGTGTCTTACGGCCACAGACAAGGACACAATGAAGAGAACAAAAAGAAGAAGAATTTTAATAAAATAGTCACTTCATTGTTTTTGAGATGTGGTCTCCAGGGTGTGGAAGGCGCATTTGAATAAATTCGAAATATATGAGCGAGAAAGGCTTTTTTGGAGTCTTCGTAGTAGATGTCTATGATGACTGTGAGTAATCGAAAAATGGCACTGTTTGTCATCTGGACGGCGGTTTCGCACAACGTGCTGTGTGCATTGCCTCAAAAAAAAGGGGACACCGGATGCATACATAACAGTGTCTTTTTCGGTGATTGAACAGTTTCTAGGTAGCAACTTTCACTTCATGAAAGAACAGTGTATTTTGTTTTCGTGCTGTATTTATGTGTTAGAATAGAATAAGATGGATAACTATAAAAATGCGTTTTTGTTTTCTAAAGATTTTTTAAAATGCGAGAAAAAACTAGAAAAAAATAATGCGAAGTTTGAGTCTTCTGTCAGGTTCGTTTTGCTGCTGAAACATCTTCTTAATAACCGCCCTGGTAATTGCCTCCATAACCTGGAGGGCCACCGCCATATCCACTACCCTGATTATAGCCTTGCTCTGCACCAGAGTGATTATGCATTTGTCCGTAGGTCGGATTTGGATTACCACCGATCATATTATCAAGTCGTTCGCCTAACGCGCCTATAGACAAAAGAAAACGGAGTTTTAAAAAGGGTTTAGTGCACTTTATTTCATACTTACTGTTTTCTCCACCGGGTACGAAACGATCTATCAGCTCATCAGTAATTCGTTCGACTGGACCCCCCGAATTCTGGTTTCCACCTCCCCACATTATATTATTATTTAATTTTTCTCTTGGTAAGAGTAAACTAGTTAAGAGTGTGAATGCGTGCGTGTTTTTAGAATGATAAAATGAATACAAAAATCGACTCTTTTTTTGGGCTTTAGTATGAGTATTCAACCGTGTCCTTGCCGATTTTATTTTTGTTGCTGTATATGTAAGTAATCATGACAAGGAAAATAAAAAGCAAGATTGGCTCCCTTATTCACTTTTAGTGCACGTTTGCTGTAGAAAGGAAGAAAAAGTGCGATTAGGTATCTCTTTTTTTTGAAAATTCTATAACTTGTGTGACAATAATTCTGAAAGTTTTTCACAAAACAAGTTTTGGGCTTAGAATCAAAGTTCGATTAATAAGAAAGTACCCGGCGTTTTGTTTACTCGCTCTTCTGGAGTTTGGCTCTTCAGTTTCAAAACACTGTCTTACTAGATATGATCCTGAACGAGCTTTTTTTCCGATTTAAAGAGCTTAGAACATTTATTTATCCTTCATCGTGACAAAAATTTATTTTAAATACAACATGGAGTACAAACATAAGCACGTCAAAATGATTTCTAGTAAAATGAAAACGCGTAACTTTGTGTAATCTTAAGTGTACGGTGGTAAATAAATAGCTCCACACACTAAAAACTAATCTGTCCCATGTGTCACAGATTGCGACATAATGTGTGACATAATCATCTGCGACATCGGAAGCCACTTGTGACACATTTTTTTCGTTGAGGCTGCGACACATTGCGCTGAGTATTTCTACTATAAAGAAAACAGTGAAAATTAGGTATTTTTGATCTCTTATTCGATTTTAAGAATATTTTTAGTTCGTGTTGGGTGTACTACGTAATGTCGACGAGCTCAATCCACCCGTAATATTCACAGACCTTCAAAATATTCAGTTTCACAGATCTGAGATTAATAGCGTAGTCAAGGCCTCACATTAGTTGGTTTTCGTCAGAGAAAAAAGGTTGAAAAACTTAGGTAGGGATCTTTATTCATGAATAACATTCTTAACTTGAAAAGCCCGAAAATTTTCTTATCTTTTACCTATTAGCCCAGCCTATAGCTCATCAACATTGAAGAGAAGCCGAAGAAAATCCTATTGAAAATAGTAAAACATAGAATTTAGCAGGTCTTTTAACAGAGATTCGCAGATGACCTTAAGAACTGTGTCTAAAAGTTCTTAGTGACGGCGATACAAACATGCAACACAATTTTCGCACAGGAGCTGCGACATATTTTACTGCAACACAAAATACGATACAATATTTTTTACTGTGCATACTGTTAGCGGAAGAAAGAAAAACGAGAAAGACACTACACAAGTTGTTGAGAAGAACAGTAAAAAAGCAACATTTATGTTTGAATCTGTCTGCTAACTCGCATATTTAACAAGCGTTAACCCTACAGAGTACAGAAACGTTTCATTTTGAAGTGAGTGGTTTGGTATATCACCTAGAAAATTAACTGAAGTTTCTCAAGTGATAATAACTATCGATGAATCAAGACAAAACAGATCGTTCGAAATACGTACCACCGTCAAATGTTTCTCACAACATTCTGTTTACGGAACTTCGACATACCAAACTTTTGAACATTGGTCCTAGTACATTTCGATGTCATCTTTTAAAGGAAACTATTTTTTGAAAAAAATTCATTCCATTGACTGAAAGAAAAGTCGATTTTAAATTTTTTTATCGAATTTTAAGTAAAATACTTAGGGAACGTTTCAATCACGACATAATGTGTGACATAATCACCTGCGACACCGGGAGCCACTGGCGGCACATTTGAAGCTGTTACCGGAGCATCAGTAACGATAACGCGTTTTTACCGTTACCGAACATGTCTATTCACAATGGTACTGAGAAAAAGTTGAATGAAAAAGTTTGACTAGGGTAAATAAATATTCATGAATATTTTAGTGATACCCGAAGTTCATACGTACTTTGTTTGTTAACTTAGCCGGTATGGTAATAAATGTGAGGAAAATATATGAAAATGTTGCACAAAATGTGAAGTATGTTTGGTGGGAAAATTGTAAGACGTGCTTAGAATTTTATATTTTTTTCTTATATATAAGCACTAACATACACTTTTAATTAACCAAACATACATCTTGTCTAAATTCATATGTAAATTATAAACCTTTTTTACTTTCTATTCTCGTTAGTTCATATATTTATTTCCTCAAATCAATAAAATTTCTGATTCCAATTATATTCATCATAAATTACAAATTTGTTTAATTGTTAGTTGAAAGTTTTATACCTCTCAACTCTAAAGCAGCATAAAAGTGCGTAAAAATATGGAATTGCGCACAGCTGATGAACGATGTCTTTTTTGTCCGTTCTCTTCTGCCAATTGTTAGGTAGAAAATCCATCTCACATTTTTCACAATAGTCATCTCATACATTCTTTCTTCATCACACCACTTCTATCGTACCATTTTATTGTATCACTTCCTCACGTAGTTTTACATTCCTCTCCCTATTACTGTATATATATATGTATATGTAACAGACTTTTTTCGTCAGAAATCAAGCCTCTCTTTTACAAATTGCAACGATAAACTATTCTTCTCATTTGCAAATACTAAAACATCTCGTGAAAGTCGGCGACTTCTCGCGATATATCGTCCTACACGTCGGACCCGCTGTGGAGATATATCGCCGATTTTTAGCCGACATTCACCACATGGGTATGCTTTCTCACGTTAGAAACTGAAAAGAAAAACGAAAGATTATCCTAATCAAAGTGTCACCCAGCTATAGTTTTGCTTATCAAGCTTATTTGATCCGACCACCGTCAGATTTGTTAACCGTCTTATCTCGAGAATTGCATGTCTTTCTATCTGAGGCGCAATCTTGAACGTTGTGCTTGGGTTCAAAAACTTTATTTTAAAAGAAGCAAGAAAGAAACTGAAATAGAGTAGTCCTAAAACAAGGACTGCCACAACATTGCAATAATATTTTACTCGTGTTTCATAATCAAAATGACGTTCGGTTAGAAAATATTTCCGTCCAAATTTTAGAAACATAATTGGATTTTGAAGTGATATAATGAGAAATGTCGAGTCTTTTTCTAAAGACTCACTTTTGTGCGATGTGATGGAATGAACATTTTTGTGATGGAGAAAGAAAGAATGCATTACTGACATATTTTCTGTTTTGATGACGTTCATGACGCTGTGTGCGTACCCTGCTCGGAGAAAATTTATATAAGACTTTAGTTTGGTCTTGTCTCGACATGTTTTACAACTTTGCATTTTTGTCTTTAATCATCATTACACTTTCGTTCTCGTGCGTATATGCCGTTCAGGTTGGTCGATCAAGATTTCTGACTGTAATGACAAACAGTAGTGTACAAGCAGCATCAGACATAAACTGTACGAATTGTTTGTGCGACTGTCTAATCTACCTACAATTGAATTCTTCGCCATCTTGTTACGGTGTCAATTGTTTTCCTTCGAATCAATCCTGTCAGTTGATTCAACGAAAGTGGGCACAAAAAGCGGCTTGGTCAGTGGATTTAACCACATCGAACTATGTGTACAGCATCGGATTACAGTTGTGTTATTGTGATCCACAACAGATTTTAAACGCTAGCTCATCAGCCACTGTGATCAATGCTACTGGTTTAACAGGGCTTCAACAAGTTTACTACGTGGCAGCAAGCAATGCATTGATAGCCATATCCTCATACCGTCTCGCTCTGCTCAATGCATCAGACTTGTCGGTCATACGAAATGTAACGGCAAGTAGTTGGTTTAATGGTATTGTTGACAATTCAACTCTGTATGTTACACTTTATACAAATTATAGTCTTGTTTTGTATGACTTGAATCTAAATTATCAAAGCTCTATTTTTATCGGCATTCAAGGTCGAGGTCTGAAAAAACTGAATAATTACATATATATTTGTGATTATGTTTTTAAGTGCGTTTGGAAACTAAACCTCTTCACATCCAGTGTATCAGTGTTTTTCAATTTTTCGAGTTATAATATTACTCCAAATGATCTTGTTATTGCAAATCAACGTGTCTACGTAGGTGCATATGTTCCCGTCCCTCAGCTGTTTATGATCGATTTAAATACTGCAACTCTTTACAGTGTGTATCAGTTACCAAATGGAACGAGTGTGCGTTTCATGACACTCGACACCTGCAATCGAATATGGCTTGGATCTCAGAATACGTATTTGAGTATTGTACCTGTCTTCGACTTGGGCACCGAAACAATGAGTTTTTATCCCAACTATGGAGTTGGAGTGGATGCCTACGTAGGTTATATTAGTTTCAATATTCCTTATAATATCTTTATGACTGCTCAACTGAATTCAACCGTCTACAAACTGTCACTAAACACAACAATAACTTGTAATTAAACTCTTGTAGAAAAACTGTTAAGTGAAACATGCAGATTACATTCACTGACGTTTTCGGAGCGAGTTAACAAGCCCAGTGCACTTTCTAGGATTTAGGAAACATCCATGATCTTACGTTGTTGGAAGAAATAAAATTTTGTATTCTTACAAGATAATAGCTTTTTCCATATTTCTTGCAACGCCGTGTGCCAAGAAATTAAGACAAGAAAATCTTCCTGCTGGGTAAAGTACACCAGCAAGCAATCGCAAGAAAAACATCAAGAAAAGCGTCAACAGGTCGGATTCGAACCAGAGGTCATGTTCTCAGAGGCGGATGTTCTTTCATGAGGTCAGAGAGACATTATATTAACAAAGACGCTGAGAAGTTTTTTTCAGTAGTCTGCGTTTCTTGCAGCGTTATTTGGCCTACGGTAAGAAACGTCCAAGAAACTTTCTTTTTGTCCAAGCTATCTAGAGGATAATTTATATTGTACTGCTCTACTTGGTCTAAAGTTAGCAATCCTTATAAAGTAATAAAACTCTGTAGTGGAAAAACATCAAGTCTGAAAAGAACTCAGCCTTATGAATTTCAGCAGATGATCAATGTATCATGTATAAGGAGAAATGCAGATTA